ATATTTAAAGTCTTGAAACATTTTTGTTAGATTTTAATTTCGCACAGCACTTGAAGTTTAAGAACATTCACAATCGAAGGCAAGCTTTATTTTCAATATTTTTCAGCCACATCACTTAAGTCCGAAAATGCGATGATCTACGATGCTGCATTTAATCTATACTGACTCAAAAAATACCGACAGACTTGAACGTTTGCGCTGCGAGCACATATTATGATGATAATATACATACATACATATGTTCGGTTGTAGGTATGAAATGTTGTTATCTTTTCAATTTTATTAGGAAGCCAATCACCTATTGAATAAAGATTGTTTACTCTGCTTGTGTGTGTGTGTGTCAACGATGTTGTGGTAAGGTGACCAGAGTAAGCGTCTTCTTCTATATAATCAAAACCATCAAGAGACAGTGTAACAAAAAAGTAAACGGAACGGAAATTGTAAACAAACCAACAAAACGTAAAATATTTAATTATTCATCAAAATTTATTTGGCCGCCTTCAACGATTTTTCCCGGCCTCAAAACACTTTTCCTAAGCACATTTTGGTATAACTACTTCAGCGAATTTTGTTTTATCTCTTCGCTCCATGATCTCCTCCTTATTGACCCACTGTCCCTTCGGAAAAAATTCATGTATACCATGAATATCGAAAACACCAATGAGAACCTGGATTTTTGACCGATTTTTGAGTATTTGTGTCTGTTTTTTTTTTTTTTTTTTTTTTTTTTTTTTTTTTTTTTTTTTTTTTTTTTTTTTTTTTTTTTTTTTTTGTTTTTGTTTCGCCTCCTTTTTCCCCTGGATTGCAATGATTGTTGATTCGAGGAGCAAAGAATCCATTGGAGATCTTTGAAACATGTGAATAATAACTGATTTTGCTGGTGTTTGCCTATAATCATTATTGTGAACCAATATGAAGCTTTCAATTGAAGTCGATGATGATAGATGTTAGCTCCGATTGCCGTCAACAAATACTCAAACTATTCAGCTTTTCTAGCACAAAACTAAAGGAACTGAACGCTTGCTGTCAAAGAAAGGTGACTTACCCTAGCCACCCAGATCTTCAAATGGAACAATACCCCGATTTTCCTTTTGCTATTATGTTTAAAGAAGCTATCAATGCCCGTATTAAGACAAGCAGTCAAGACAAAATTATCATAATAATAATTGGTCTCAAATGTATGATATTTTTTTAAGTTCTTAAAAGCTTCCATAATGACAAATGGCGCATTCTGAATTTCAACTTCGTCCAATAAATATTTTTTACCATCAATGCTCTTGCTAAGAACAGGATGTATTTTGAAACGACCTCAAAATTAATACTTATTGCTGGTCTTGCATATTTTCACAGATTATATCTGGAAAGTACACAAGCTCAAAGCAGAACGGTATTAATTTTCAAGTATATGGTAATCTGACTGCTTAATAGTTCTCACTGAATAATCAAATAAGCATGAAAACTCAATTCCGTTTCCCCATTCTGCTTTATCTGCCATTGAACTTACAATTGGAACATGGAGAGTGCGGCTTTGTTAGGGTAAGGTACTTTGGTACCGCAAGTGTTAAATAACCTCTTGATATCGAATAATCGAAAATTAATGGTGACAGCGGATATTAAATGTTATAACTTTCTTTACCTGTTTTACCATTCGCAGTTATTTTCACCAAAAACTATTCCGTTAGTGTTGCAAAGCTTTCGTAATATTTTGAAAGCACAGAGCAAATATTTTCGTGTACAAAATTTCACGGGTGCTCACCTGTGCTATTCGCTAAGAGTGCTAGTTCTCCGTAAGCACAGATAAACACCAAAGCTTTAAAGCGATGTGCTTTTCTCCACACTGTGGTAATTTAAATGGCCAAATTATAGAATTTGTAATGCTCACGCGCAGCCGAACATTTGATAATCTCGTAATTTAAGCACAAAGTAAAAATTTTTTGTCATTTTCATTGAGATAACTCAAATATTGGCCGATATATCTAGCATAAAGTCACCTAAAAGTTCGAAAACCTTTTAATAGGTATATGAGACCTCAGGGAAGTATTGATTCGATTTAGCCCATTTTTGATACGCAGTATTATAATCGTCAGTAAAGGTTTCTCTCGGATTTTCAGTTCTTTATCTCACACATTCACCGATATTTTCGGTTAAAAGTTAACTATAATACTTGTGTCCACATATTTGGTACTTGGGGTCTTGAACAGTTTTGGTTGCATTTGGAGAATTTTTGGTCAAAAGGTGGCATTCTATAAAGGAAAAGTCCCACGTACTAAGTTTTGTCGAAATTGGACGGTTGGGTCCTGAGATATGGGATTTCACCAAAAAGTGGGCGGTGCTACACCCATCGTCAAATTTTCTCCCAAAAGGTCTTCTCATTTCATATCGAAAGCAAAACTAAAAGTCTCTGGCGTAATTAGTTATTGATTTACAGCGTTTTTAGTAGTTTTGAACGGTACCGTTATATGGGCAGTGTGCGGGGCTATCATCCTATTTGATCATCTATAGTTCATACAACATCTTAGTCTTGAGCATTTAGTCTGTATGCTAGATATATGCTATAATGGTCCGATATCGGAGTCCGACAAATTAGCAACGTCTTGGTGAGAAAGAGGAGCACTGGATTAAATGGTGAACAATTATATATATTTTCATACACTGAAGTTTTCTACGAAGTTTGTTACTCGCAGAAGGATACGACGATGATGGAGCAGACCTCCCTATGCCCAACAATGAAGAAGTTCGAATAGTTTGAATAGCAACAACTTGTCAAAAGAACAACAAAGCAACGGGAGCCGATAGATAGATTGCCAGCCGAGCTATTCAAATACGGCGGCGAAGAAGTTATAAATGCATCAGCTTTCTTGTAGAATATGGTCGGACGAAAGCATGCCCGACGATTTGAATTTAAGTGTGCTCTGAGCAATCCACAAAAAGGTAGCCCCACAAACTGCGCCCACTACCGTGGGATAAGCCTCCTCAATATTGCATATAAGGTTCTATCGAGCGTATTGTGTGAAAGATTAAAGCCCACCGTCAACAAACTGATTGGACCATATCAGTGTGGCTTTAGACCATAAAACTATACAATCGACCCGATTTTTATCATGCGCCAAATCTTGGTAAACATCCGTGAAATGTATATCGGCATCTTCGTCCACTTCAAAGGTGTTTTTGATAGCACGAAAAGGAGATGCCTTTATGCTGCGATGCCTCAACTTAATATCTCTATAAAACTAATACGGCTGTGTAAACTGACGTTGAGCCACACCAAAAGGACCTCTCACAGCCGTTCGATACCAAACGAGGTTTCAGACAAGGTGACTCCCTATCGTGGGACTTCTTCAATCTGCTGCTGGACAAAATAATTCCAGCTACAGGGCTTAATCGAGCAGGGAAATCTTCTATAATAGTGTGCAACTGCGACGATATTGATATTATCAACGCGCCGTTAGTTCTGCTTTTTCCCGACTGGATAAGGAAGCGAAGCAAATGGGTGTGGTGCGAAACGAGGACAAGACGAAATATCCCCTGTCATCAAACAAATATTCGTTGAGTTCATGAGTGACAGCTCTGAAAGTATTCAACGCAGTTCCCGCTATGCGAAGCAGAGGAAGAAGACCTCCACTCCGTTGGAAAGACCAGGTGGAGAAGGACTTGGAATCTCCAATTGGCGTCACCTTGCGAAAATAAGGAACGACAAGCGTTGTTGTTAACTCTATAACCACGTAATCGGTTTCTACGCCAGTAGAGAAGAAGAAGAAATTAAACATTTTGTCATCTCTTTTTATGTTATTTTATGACAACGCTTTTCGGGGCACATTTAAAATTGAGAGGAAAAAAAATCGATATACACGGCTTAAATCTTCTTTTGTTTCCAGGAAATATCTTTCCTTGAGATCCTTGGATTTCCTGGAGATCAAAGGCAACAGTATTTTCCTACAAAAAGCAATGATTTATTAACACTCAAAATGCTGTATGAACCTGTTTTTTTTTAACACAAGTTGCTTCACAGAAATGCTATTACTAATAATTATAAGCCAATGGATGGTAGTACTAGTATTATCTATGGTTCAGCCACAGTGAAGCGTGGACGGGTCCTCTAGTAGTTATATATTTAGAAATCATCCGAAAATTTTTTGAATACGAGATCTTTGATATTCTGCTTTTGGGAAGCAATTGCCCGATGCATCTAGCATGTGCCTTTATCAGACGGCGGGCAGGAGGCAGGTCGCGATTTCTAACGGAAACAAAAAATTCGAAGAGATTCATATTTGTTAATAACTTATCTTCATGCTAAACTAAGAAAATTCAAAAAAAAAGTGTAACATCCTACAATTATTGAAAAAAAACTTGAGAAAGACAATTTTACTTTATCTTGGTTTAAAATATGTTCAAACTTGGCTTTTCGTAGTTTTTTTTTTTTTTTTTGTTTTTTAATTTAAAAAGAAGATAATTTAACGCCAAAGATAATAAAGTTTGCCCCAATTTCATACTACGCTTAGTTTTTTTTCTATCCTGCCCGCCAATTAAGGTAAATCGTAAAAATTAAAAACCGAGAAATCGCGCGTCAAAGTTTTCGCTTTCTGCCCAAGCGCTCATATATTTGCTAGACGCTCGGTCAGAATTTCCCTTCTAGCTTCGACAATATTTCCAATTCCCATCTATAACTTCGGGGACATATTCTTAGATAATTTTTAAAAAGATTCAAACAAAAAGAAAAAAATCCATTTTTTTGAAGTTTCTAAAGCATGCTCGCCCCTTAAGTGTAATCTAATGCGTACAAATTAGCAGCATTACAGCATTATCCGGCGCAGATTTGATAAAAAATGCGTTTGCTTTGTGTTGATTTTCTTTATTTTTTGTTTTTAGTTTTAGGACATTAATTTAATTAACTTTATTTCGATAATTACACGTACAATTATAGTTAAAATTACATTTACATATAATAACTTACAAACACTTATTGCCAATTAGATTTCTTGCAATAGTTTTCAGCTTTAAGAAGCAATTTATTTTTTTATTTAATATGCACTATTATTATTTTAAATATTTTTTCAAAATATTTCTTCCCAATCGCACGTGCTGCATCAAATCGATTACTTTAGTTTAACTCATTACATTTTAACTACTAACGTTTAACATAGTTTGCGCTCGCTCGAAAATATGCAATTAGATACAAACATACACATGTATGTATATGTCAATCTGCAGTGCTTAGTATTAATAGAAACAAAAATAATAATAATAATTCTTACTCAGTGGCTACTTTTCTGCAGCGTTACGTGCACGCAAGCGCTTACTTGCATTCAATTAAGATTATTTTATCTCATAATTTTTAGTAATGTACATTTTCGAAATACAAACATGTATACATACATACATCTCGTGAGCGTTATTAGCTTAAAATGCTTATAATACAGTTAGAGGCGCAGTTATGCAACCCTGGTCTCTCATATAAATACATATTATATTAAAAATGCTGATTTACAATCAAAGTTGCTTAGTTGTATCTAGGGATGCTTTAGTTCTTTATTTTAATTAACTTTAACTCTTTTCATCAACTGTAAATTTCAACATACATAAGTACATGTATGTCAGCATGGCTGCCTTCTTTGTTTTTTACACATATTTTAATGCAAATGTTTTGTTTTGTATTTTTTAATTGTATTTCTGAAATTTAGTTGAAGTGATTCTCGTATGCACACATGTTCAGCTGGCAACGCCATTCCATATTTACTGCACACTCTTCTCTCACTGTGACGGCTTTTTCGTTTCCTGTTAGTTTAGCAGTTTACCAATATTTAGTTTACAGTTACACTTAACTATGAATTACAGTTAAACATTTGCATGTGTATTTGTATGTATTTTAGCCCTTTTATTTACTAAACATTTTTACATAAATGCGCTTAAATCAAATTACACACATATAAAAATCAATAAAATTAGATGTAACGCTTTCACTGCCGAGCTGCTGCTTTCTTTCACTACTCTAGATAAATTAAATTCACAAATTCACTATTTTAAATGTGTTGATTTTATGCTCTCTGTTCTCTGTGTATTTCTCAATCAATCATAGCGGTTTAGGTTAGATTGATTAGTTAATTAATCAATCGGATTAGTTAGTTAGTTGCTGCGCTTTGTTTGAGCGCCAGTGGAACTGTTTAACACCAGTGCGTTGCTTATGAGCGCTGATCTACCGGTATTCAATCTCTTTTCAGGTTTACCCTTTGGCAGAAAGGTGAAGGTGCTTGTAAGTTTAAGTGATTTGAATGCCGCAAAAGCCAACGCATTTAAGCATATTTATGTTAATCTTCTTCTTGATATAAATCAATCTTGTATTAAATTTCATTTGTTCAGTCTTTTCGTGCTAAATTTTTAGTAATGAAAATTAAATAAAAATCCACAGAAATTATGCTGCAATAATTCTTTATTTATGTAGAAGCCAAACTAGAGAGTAGAAGAAAGTTTTCAGGTTCGTAAACAGGCCGATTAGGATGGAACTTTCAAATATAAATTGCGTATCTCATAGTTGCAATGAAGGTCGGCGCTGTGAAAAAGGTTGGCGAAGCGCTACTTTTCCCGTCCGAGAACATGTTTTAGAACAGCTTCAGATAGCACCGATTTCATTTCGCTGCTTCAAATAAATACTTTCGTCATTAACTAATGGTGGTAGTAGGTGGGTGCAAAAAATTAAGCATCAGATTGTCTTTTCTTTAAAGCAGACATTGTAATTATCATTTTAACTGATTAAAAGCTTTAAATGCGTGGCAACCTTTTCCAAAAACTGTTGCAGAAGTAATACTATTACTAACAGCGCGCCAAAAATATTTTTTGAACTATAAAATTCATTAATTAGTTGCTTGTATCGTAGTATTTACTTCAATGGTCGACTTATTAGACTTAAGATGATTAAATTGGTACATAACTTTAAAACCATTAAAATATTTTGCTAAACATTCCATATATTAATTTAAGATTTAATTTCTCAAAACAGAGAAGAGCATGTAGAACATCATGTAGAATCAGAACAACAAATTTGTGAGTAAAAAAAGGATAAAGAAATATAAGTTGTTAACGATAACTTGGAGGCTGTGATTCAACATTCGGTTAAAACATATTTTGGAAAAAGACTGGGTATTTCAATTTAATTATCTCTTTTTGAAAATCTATTAACAGAAAGTCCAGTGCCATGGTAAAATTAATTTAATGTAGATTTAAAGCTTAATATGCATGGTTCACGAGTGGGTGAGAAATTTCTTTAGCAAATATGGAGAAATGTTGAATCAATTCAAATTCTAGTACGAAGAATGTATTATACAGAGCGGCTGGGTCCAGAGAAATAAATATTTTGTTCTACTGTATTAAATGTAGTTTTAATTTTAGGTTATGGCGATTTTCAGTATTCATTTACGCTTATTACACAGGTCTACAAACAATTTTTTTTGTACTTACGATGTTATTAAATCGTATGAACTCGTAAATTGAATTAGAAAAAGCTCTTCTTCCAACGTTCTGTTAGTGAATACTTCATATTCAATTGTATACTGCCTTGTTAAAAAGGAACCGATTGGAAGAGAACACTACAGACAACGATTATATGAGATGAATTTTAAAATTTTTGTTGTTCGTCCTTTGCGACAAGCAACTGATCACAGTACATTGGATCAGCGGGAAGTAGGGTTAAGAGTATCAAAAACTATTTATAGTGAATTCCATGCCGTCATCATTCAGTGTAGCTTAATCATATGCTACAAAAGAGAAGTTTAATATCTTAAAATCTCTTTCATTAACTTCGTTTCGTGTATTTCAAAAAAGATACTGTTTTTCAATAGAAAGAGAGAGAGAAGCTTTGCGCTCTTTAAACCCTACTAAGCTGCTCCAGATTTACTTGTATAGTTAATTTCTCGATTTTCAGAAGAGGCTCCAGCTAACTATTCCACAATAGATCTTTAGTGTTATTAAAATGTATAGTCAAATTGTAGGTTGCATAAATATTTATAAGTGACAGACTCAAATATGTACATTCTTCTTGGTATCGCCAAGATAGTTCTGGCGCGCTGTATCCTATTATTTACTTTCAAAAACTATTATGGACGGAAATTGAAGTTTAAAATCCGACTTTATTGTGGGAGTAAACTAAATAAGCAAATACTTCTATTAATTTAAAAAATAATGTTAACCACAGAAAACCAATTTATTTTTAAAAGAATTAACCGCATAACTTTTGTGATCCACATGTATATGTTCTTTTTTCTTCCACGACCTTTTCTAACGCCTTTTCACTTTTGCATTACGGTCTTCTTAATTGCAGGATTTGAATTCTAGTTTAAATATAAACATTATTCAATTCATCACAAAAATGCTCGCACCCAATAAAGCAGCTCTTAGTTCACATATTCATCTAGTACGTCTAAGTAATCGACCCCAAATCGTTCGTGCTTTCGCACTTAAAAATATAGCTATCCTTTATCTTTACCCGGTCCCACACTAACGCCAAGTAAATGCTCGCCCGCCATCAGACCGGCCGGTTGGTGCGCATAGTTCCTAATTTGGTGAAGCGAAATCAGTTGGTTTGGAAATGAATTGGAATTATTTTGATTGACATTTTTATTCTGGAAGCTGATAGCATCGTACAGGTACGGACGCTGCGCCATGGGATGGTGGCTAAGTGTATTCAAGTGTGGCGGCATTGAATTGATCGGGGTGAACGCTGAATTGCTGGTGGTCTTCGTGATACTCGCCGCATCGTACGGTCCAACAGTGGATGGTGTAGACACTGAAAAGGTATTGGGTAAACATTTGAGAATATAATAACATATTTATTATAATTATATAATTTAGTAAAATCAAATATTGGTGTGACCGTATTTAGACGGTTGTATCGATTTTTGCTTTTGGATAACGAGATTGTACATACCCGCCATCTCTAATACTAATACTTTAATTTTATTAATGGAAATTCGCTATGTATGCTAATGCAGGGTGTGGCTTTTAGTACAATATACTAGGTTGTGTGGACTATCCAGCTGAATCTAAGAAAATATATCCGATGCCTTATGTCACAAATATAGTATTAAAAATAAACTTTCATGCCCAAAAGAAGTCCGTCTTGCCCTTCTCTTAATGCAACAAAGAGGGGAAGATGTATCAAATGAGCTGGCGTGTCAGTTAAAGTTCTTATATAAAATAAACAGCGGCTAATATCATTCCATTTTGATACTCTATAGTCAAATAACCTTTGAGAAAAAATACTGGTTTTGAAACTGAGCATTACGGACACGAAACGCTCTTGGAATACGACCGAAAAGTCATTCGATGAGTGATGTCAAAAAAGCTTAACATACAACTGGTTTGCAGACCAATAGATCTCACCCATTTTAAATACAAAATGTGCTGTTAGAACGCTCTGACTATTGATAACTCACAAAATACTGATTTCTTGATTTATGAGTATATGTAAACGACGAGTCAGGGTAGAAACTACATTACCATAATGACATAATGCCTTTCAGGTAGATAAGAACTGACTCACCGATTTCGTCCCGACCGTTGTCGCTCATTCGATGATGCGTTTGCAGCTCGCCATGTCCGTTTGGCGGCCCACCAGATCCACTGGCTCCGCCTCCGCCACCAGCGCTACTTCCGCCACCTGAATTTACATTCGAAAAGTCCATGTGCTGTTGCTGTTGCGGCGCCTGTTGTTGCGTCTGCTGTTGCTGCTGCTGATGATGGTGTTGCTGGCCGCCGAGTTGCTGCTGTTGTTGATGATGGTGATGCTGCTGCTGTTGTTGGTGTTGTTGTTGCTGTTGCTGTTGGTGCATGACATCTGTCATATTAGCGGCGGAGTCTGGACTGACCTTAGGCCAATATGAATGCTCGGTGGGTGCTATCGACACCGGCGGCAAGCCAAGCGTCTGGCGATTGTGGGTATTCGAATTTGGCAAACTACTCACACCCGCACCACCAATACCACCACCACTAGTGCCGCCCGCAGCACCGCCACCCATATTGCCCCCATTCACATTGCTGCCAGGCGCGCTGTTGCCACTGCCGCCTAAGGATGCGCCAGCGCCGGGCACATTACCGCTCGCGGTCAAAGCGGCAATCGGTGGTCGCTTGTCCGTGCGCTCGGCGTGCTTCTGCATATGCTTGGTTAGATATGTCTCTTGTGTGTACGATTTGCCGCAATACTGGCAAATGTGTGTCTTCAGGTGCTTAGACTCCTTGTGCTTGGGTATATGATCGAGCAGTGAGGGCTCGTCTGAGAAACACTTGTAGCAGGAATTACATTTGAAGGGTTTGTCCGTTTGGTGGCAGCGCGAGTGCGACTGCAGATTGGAAAGTTGTGAGAAAGCTTTCTGGCAGCCGGGGTGTCGGCACTTGTATGGCTTGTCGCCGGTGTGGGTGCGGATGTGTTGCTGCAGATGGGACAGTTGGGTGAATTTGCGCTGACAAATCTCGCAGCGGTACGGTTTTATACCCAGGTGGATGCGTGTGTGTTGCGACAGGTAGGAAGAGTTGGCGAACGCCTTGGAGCACTGCGTACACTTGTACGGTTTGGCCTCGCGCATGTGAATTTGTGTGTGCAGCTGCAAGTCCGCTTTCGAGCTGAAAATCTAAGAATAGAATATTGAAAGTAAACAAATTAGTTGCCAATTGTGAAAGAAAATTAAATATTTATCCATGTATAACATACATTCCATATGTTTACTAAATTGCTCATAATTAGTTAGTTGATTTTTTATTACCTAATTTTGAATGGAGAATGGAGTATGGAGTCATGTGTAAAAGAAAATTCTCTTGAGAGTGATCAGAAACGATTCTTTTACATATGGCTCAAGCAGTTTAGGACTCCCGATCTTAGACCAAGTGTTCTCTTTGTAGCCAAAAAATGTTCGTTTGAAAGCGAGCTCAACGTAAAGGGTTGGGTCCCTCAACGTAAAAAACTCTACCAATGAAAAGGAAACAACAGCCTCGGATAAGTATCCCCCCTTTTGATGACGACACCTGCAATTGGGAAAGTGTCGCCGTCCAAGAAATGTGATAGACGGGACAAGGACTGAGGTGAGTGTGTCTCTGTAGCATTCTACAGTGACCATTTAAAGGAGCGCACTTTCGGTCTTGGATTCGTGGCATCAAAGCGAAGTTCTTCAACATATCGCTGATTTGCGCCTACGCCCCGACGGAAGAGAAGGACGATGTGACCAAAGATGCCTTCTGTGAGCGCTGCCCCCACCATGATATCAAAATCTTGATTGGCGACATTAACGCCAGGGCGGACAAGAAAGGTATCTTTGGCACAACAGTCGATAAATGCAGCCTCCACGAGGTTAATCGACTTCGTCGGGGTTCGAAATATGATTATCTGTAGTACTAGGTTCCAGCATAAGAAACTGCATCAAGATATATGGCTGTCTCCGGATCGAAAAGCCACCAATCAGATCGATCATGTTGTGAGAGAAGACACGTATCCAGTATTTTAAAAGTGCGTACGCTCCTACGTCCTAATATTGACTCGAACCAATCTCTTGTTGTTGCGAAGATACATGCCCGAATCTGAGCGGCAAAGTAAGCACGTCAGCAAATACAGGTAATGTATGACGGCGAGAAGCTAATATCACAATCGAAAGCGGGTTTGTATCGACTTGCACTCTTGCTCTCTGAGAGCACTTTTCACGAACTTGGAATCAGGGAACTGTGTTACGGCATTTCAAGCTCCTAACGTACAGTGGCAAACGAAACTATTGGCTTTCGGAAAAGGTAAAAGACGAGAAGTTCTGTGTCGCAGCTGAGAGAAAACAGACTGCCTACATCGCAACGTTACAATTGGTCACAACGCCTGCAGGATAAGTTAAATACCGAGGGTTGAAGAGAGAAGCGTGTTGCATTTGCAGGAAAAAAGAAGTTGGCTTTTTTTTTGTATACAAAAGTTATAGACCAACATTGCAATATAACTGTTTTTTATTGAGCTCGTAGTTTTGTCGGAAATCGAGGTAAGTCATTCTCAATCCTTTTAAATTCAGCCACCCCCTCCTTTTCCTTTTCTTGGCCTCAGGTGGCCCGTAAATTATTTATCCCTTAATGCTTGTTATTTTATCTTTCGTTTCTGATGGGTTTCATCTTAGTCTAAGTCATCTTAAGAGCTAAGTTTTTTAATATTCCACTGAACGACGAATATATTTTTTAAAAATTTATTTCGGTAATTACAATCACATTCCTTATATTTGGCAGCGCTGGGCTGTACTGAAAATGGACATCAAAGTTTTATAAAATTCTACAATTCATCTGAAATATGTTAAGATTAAGATTAAGGAGAACAGCGATTATTGTAATCTTATGTACCTTCGCATCTTTGACATCCATATGTCGTGGTGAGCTGGTTGTCGACCCTACACTGCCACCCCCAACACCATCGCTGGCAATATGATGATGACGACCCGCCGCAGCGTGGTGATGGTCCACACTATTGCTGGTCACAATAATGTGTTGATTAGGATTCGGATAAATACGCGCCTTGCGACCGCGACCGCCGCCACCACCTCCACTGCTGACATTGCTGCCATTTCCGGAGCCTGCAGAAACGGTGCCGCCACCACTACTGCCAATGTTATTGCCTGCTGTTGCCCCGTTCGGTACGGTCGAGCTGACGATCGCATTCGTGTCGACAGTGAGCTTAACAGCATTATTAGTGTTGTTGTTACCACTGGCGACTGCCACACCGGCTGATGGTGCAACACCCGTAGTGGTACTAACTTTCTGCTGCTGTTGCGCAAGCAAATCGCTTCCGCTGGCGTTGCTGGCATTAGCGGCCGTCAGCTGTGCGTATTGGCTCGGTAGTTGCTGTTGCTGTTGCTGCGTGGCGTGTGGCTGTCCATGTTGTGACTGCGAGGCTTGTTGATGATGCTGCTGCTGTTGTTGTTGTTGCTGCTGCTGCTGGCTGTAGGACAATACTGAAGAGCGCAAATCGGCGGATGAGTTCGAAAACACGCTTAACGGTCCGAGCGCGACGCGCTCGTTCAAACTGTTGCGTAATTGATCGATGGAACGATGGACGGCATGTGTGTAGTCTCCACCAGCTGGTGGTATTTCGCCAATCAACGGCGAGTTGTGGTGGTAGTCAAGCCCACCTCCAATTGGGCGGTACTCGATAAGACGACCTTCCATTACGAGCTTGTTTTTACTAGATTTTTCACACTGTTTTATTTGTTAATTTAACGATTCGAGCTTTATTAATTTACAGTTTATTTTGAGCCTGCGGCTTTAATTCACGAGTTTCAATTAAGAATTCAGTTTTTGCAAAAACTGTAATTACGGCATTTTTTTATTTCGTAATCAGAGTAGTTATTTCTATCGCTCTGAACTCAGAAACCTATTAGTAACATCTAAAATTAACTTTAAGATTGTGATCAAAATAATTGAAATTCATTTCAGGTCAACATCATACAATCCCTTTTCCTGAATATCTCGCAGAACCAAAGAACCATATCACCAACTCTTTGGACCTCTTTAAGAAATCAAAATTAACAGATTACGTCCACTTTCAAAATGCGATTGAAAACATCAAAGAAATCTCAAAACCATTTGGAGAACCTAAAAAATGTTTCTGCACAAACTAGTTCAGAGTGAGCTCTCAATTAAGACAATGCATTGTGTCTGTAATCAGTATATAGCAAATTTGCTTTCACATTCACCGTATTCATAAGGCCTGGCCTCTAGCGATTTTATCCTTAGACTTCAAGAGTTACTTAGCGACATTGACTGACACTTGAAGCAATCTTCCATATGAAAACTTGGCGTTCGCAATTTGAAAATTTCATACAAAATATGGTGGGAATATTGTGTTAACTTCGTCAACTGGGCCCGAGTGTCCACGAAGTTTGCAACACCCAGAAATAAACGTCGGAGGCCCTATAAACCCAGCATGACGAATTGACTCGATTTATCATATAACTCATGGTCTCTCAGTTTATGAGATAATGATTAGAAATTTTGCACACGTACTTTTCTTCCAGAAAAGCTGCTCATTTGACTGAAGCGCAACCATTGAACTAAGATAGCATATAGCTGTCTTACAAACTGAACGATCGGAATCAAGTGCTTGTATGGAAAACTTTTGTTACGGTTTTTTCAATTGCAACGCTACATAACTAGATCGATAAGGACAGGAAACGACCCCATTTTTTCCCCGCTCTTTTGACATTTCTCTTTAGTAAGATTTGGCATTTTAGAGCGCTTCGCCCAATTCATGGTCGTCATAATCGTCCTGTCAGATAAACAATTGAGCGTGTAAGGAAAAATTTAAAAACACAGCAAAGTACAAAATATTCCCCCACCAGTAAGACAAAAAAGTGCCCGTAATGCCGAGAATATTGCTGCCGCTAGCGCATCAATTGAGGAAGACGCTAATCGGTCCCTCACACGTCGTTCTCAAGCGTTGGGCATCTCTGTGACATCGTTGTGAGGAATTTAGCGAAAAGATCTTAGCCTAAATCCTTCCAAGTTTAAATTGACTCAAGAACTGAAGTCGCTTGACAACCATAATCGTCGTGTATTCGTGAATTGAACTGAGCAACAACTTGAAAATGATACGGATTTTCATCGAAAAATCATCTTCAGCGATATGGCTCATTTCTATCTGAATGACTTCGTTAATAAACAAAATATGAACTATTAGTCAGGCAGCAATCCACACGTACTCCATAGGTCACCATTGCATCCCGGAAAAACGGGTACGGTTTATGGTCCGGCAACGTTATTGGGCCGTACTTCTTCCGTAATGATCAGGACCGTCATGTTACTATGAATGGGAATCGCCACCGCTCAATGATAACCGAATATTTTTGGCCCGAATGGGATGATATGGACTTGGCCAATATGTGGTTTCAACAGGACGGCGCCACAAACCACACTGCGAATGTCTGGTTTGGTGTTTGGTGAACCTGTTATTTCACAATGTGGTCCATCAATTGGACGCGATTTGACGCCGTTGGAATATTTCCTGTTGACATACATCAAGTCTATACTCTATGACAACAAGCATGGAACAATTGCTGAACTTCGTATGAATAGCGAACGCGACATTGCAGCAGTATGGGCCGATTTATGCTTGAAACCCGTCGAAAATTGGGTTCAGCGTCTGAACTTCTGTAAGCGTGCCCTGCAAAATAAATCGAGTTCCATACATAAGGCCACGAAACGTACTTTCACAGGAATAAAGCTTTTCATTAATTTCCATAGCGCTCTTATTGAAATCGCCTTTATTTGACGAGATATCTACACGAAATGCGATTAGTTTTCAAGGCTACGATATACTCTCCAAAAAAACTGTTTAAATCGGATCACTATACCATATACTTAGCTGCCATACAAACTGATCGGCGAATTCAATTAATATTTTTGTCTTGTTTTTAAAGCAGAAATGTTTACGTATCGTATTCAAATAATCTGTTAAGTCATATCAGTGGATTACTTCCATAACTGTGTTTTTTTTAGGGCATAGTAAGTTTGTACGCTTCATAAAAAATCAAAATATATATTTATATACATATGTATATGTAAACTAGTCCGTAACTAAATTGTTCTTCCTTTTACCATTTCTAAATTCATTTGTCAAGGT